CCCCCAATATCATGACCTCAATTCTACCTTACAAATCTGGCTAGACCAGAGCATATACATGGGTACAGATACGAGCTTAAAACACAGGGGATCCAGGATAGAAAAACCCCCCAGGACCAATATTGAAAGTAGCCATATTGGGAGGGGAAAGGGAAGGTAGGAGGAGAAAGGGGGGACCGATCACAATGATCTACATATAACCCCCTCCCAGGGGACAGACAACAGAAAAGTGGGTGAAGGGAGACATGGGCCAGTGTAAGACATGACAAAATAATGATAATTTATAAATTATCAAGGGTTCATGAGGGAGGGAAGGTGGAGGAGGGAGGGAACAAAAAATGAGAAGCTGATATCAAGGGCTCAAGTAGAAAGAAAATATTTTGAAAATGATGATGGCAACAAATGTACTAATGTGCTTGGCACCATGGGTGGATGTATAGATTGTGATAAGAGCTGTATGAGACCCCAGTAAAATGATGTTTTTTAAAATAAGCAACTTGATGGTACCTATAACAATAGCATCATTATTATAATTATTAATAACATTGTTAGCTCTAGGTAAACACTAACAATATTTCCTACTACCACATTTTCTCACCCATAAAATAGTCACAAACACGTCTCTAAGGTAGACTCTGTAGACTTTTCACATCACACAGAAATGTGAGGACTCCAGGGAGCGTTAGTTGGCTGCTGGGTCCAACACTGGCCAGCCAGCTTGGTCTCTCTGAGACTTCAGCAGATTCCTTGTTCCTGCCCAGGTGGTGATCCGCAGGCGCCCGCTGGTCTACGTGGTGAGCCTGCTGGTGCCCAGCATCTTCCTAATGCTTGTGGACTTGGGGAGCTTCTACCTGCCACCTAACTGCCAGGCCAGGATTGTGTTCAAGACCACTCTGCTGGTGGGCTATACTGTCTTCAGGGTCAACATGTCTGATGAGGTGCCAAAGAGTGCAGTGAGCACCCCTCTGATTGGTAAGCAGACTTGGGGGGTCTCCAGACACCCATCTTCCCCTACCAAAGATAGTGTCAAAGAGCTGATGGTGCGCCTTCAGTTAGAGGCGGGGGAGGCTCGGGCGCTCCAGCTAACCCCCTTCTCTGGGTTCCTTCCCCAGAGGTCTTCTTCACCGTCTGCATGGCCCTCTTGGTCCTCAGTTTATCTAAGTCCATCCTGCTGATCAAATTCCTGCATGATGAGTGGCACCGTGAGCCAGAGCGGCCCCTCCTGTGCCTTCGAGGGGAGCCGGATGCTGACGGCACTCGCATAGACCCCAGGGCTCAGCTGGCTGGGGCAACAGGTTTGTGAGGAGCCTTGTCCTGTCTTGCCTTATTCCCCTCAGTGTCTGTTCCCGTGGGCAGCACCAGACCATGGGTTTGGCTGCTGAAGAGTTTGGAACCTTTCCTTCTTAGCCTGTCTTGAATTTTTCATGACCTCTTTTCTGACTGAAGACTCCACCCCTCTGGCTTTCGAGAAACCCTAACTACGGCCTCCAGGCCGGCTCCTCAGCCACCATTAGTATGTTATGAGCCAGTCACAGTCAATGACTCACACGGATCGAGTGACCAGAATGGGACCAGAATGGTAGATTGCTAGCATGGATAGGTAGGTAGGTAGATTAGATAGATAGATAGATAGATAGATAGATAGATAGATAGATAGATAGATAGATAGATAGATACAGGCATAGAGGTATTCAAGCACATTGATGTCCTAGTTGCTGAACCTAAAATAGTCTAAGTCTTCGACTCTAAGACTTTATCCCAGCCCCTGAAGCTGCGTGGAGGCAAATAAAGGTGGCTCCGGCTCAGGAAATCTAGATGTAGCTGGCCAAGTGGTACCCGAGTTGTATGCCCCAGCTCTGCCGTGCTGTCTGAAGCCTCCCTCAGCACAGCAGGAGAGGGAGGGAGAAGGTCCCCAAGCCAAGCTCACCCCACTGCCCAGTTTCCCCCACAACCTTCTCTGGATAAGGATAAGGCTGCAGCGTCAAGGGAAAGCCCAGACGGGCCTTGTTAGCCTGGCCTCATGCCGGATGTTTTTTCTCCATCCCACAGAGTTCCCCATCTGCCAAGAGCACCAGATTCAGTCAGGAAGCCTGAGAGAAATCTGGTCTCAGCTGCGATCGCTAAGTGACTATCTCCAGGCTCAGGAGCAGGCTAACCAACGGGAAACGGAGTGGCTGGCGCTCCTCTACCGCGTTGACCGCCTGCTCTTTCGAAGTTACCTCTTCTTGCTGGGGCTCTATGCCATCACCCTGTGCTCCCTCTGGGCACTTTGGAGCAGCTTGTGAAGCCTGATACTTGGGGGTGTTAATACCATGACACCATGCTTATGGAAGGCTGATGTGTGTGGGGTGGGGTGGGGTGGGGGTGGGGGCAGAGATTGGAGGGGGAGAAAAGGTGGGTTAACAAGCTTTCCAGCCCTCTCCTCCCCTTGCCCCTTCCCTCTTGTACTAGGTACTCCCACTGGATGACTTACCGCATGACTCCAGAGCAAGGCCTTCCTGATGAAAATGTGTCAGCAGCACCCAGTGTCTGAGGACAAGAACCATTTCCGACTCATCCCAGGTCACGCCCCAGAGTCACCACTGTCAGTCAGCCCACTCTTGGGTCTTTTCAGAAAACGTCTAGGCACCAAACTGGTCACCTGTTGCCCCAGAGGACAGAATAGAACTGCCCCATAGGGTTTCTAAGCCTACAATGAAGCCCATGGCCACAGACAGACGGCCACCTCTCTCTCCCTGAGAGGGTCAGAGGGCCACACCTTTCTCCCAAGGAGGGTTGACTGCTGAGAGTTTGGTGAGCCACCGAGCACTTAACCGCTGTGATATCAGGGCTCCTGCCTAGGCACATACAAGCATATTTTTATGCATAAACAGTATTTTTAAAAACTGTAAGTCACTCCATCTCCCAGTCCCGTCTGGATTTATTTACCGATTCCGTCAGTCTCTCAATACAATCACTACAGAGTGTGACTGAGTCCTAGGCAAGGTGTTAGGCATAGGAGAGAGCACACATCCGTCTGCACTTGACTTGATCCGCATGGTCAACCCCGTCCCAAGCAGAACACAGAATTTCCCACCGCTCTCTGGCTTTCTGAAGTGTGTGCTCCTACTAGCCTGGTGGAGGCCTCACCCCCATGCCTCTTCAGCGGGGGCTGTTGTTGGTGGAGGTCCTGGAGCCAAGGCGTCCAGGCCCAATCTAACACTTTGAGAAACAGAGTGGATGTGTGAGGGGCTGAGCTGGGGGAGAGACATAACAACATGTTGTCCTTGGGCCAAGGAACGTCCCCTCTACTGTCTGGATGTCTGTTTAGCTTATTGCCCATGTCCACGGTCACTTGTTCAGAACTGGAGAGCCCTGGCCACCAGGCACTGGGTCTATCAGCTTCTGGCTCATACTCTTGGGTAGCCAGAGTCATCTCCAAAGTCTGTATTGATTATCCAACCTGATGACAGTTCCTAGGACCTCAGAACCAGAATCCTAAGATTAGAAACCAAGCCTACCACAAATCAGACGTTCTTCCCGTCTCATAGCTTTCTGTTTCAGGGGACTTCATCATGCTACGCCACCCGCTCAGGAAGGGGCTTGTTTCCCATCCAAACCTACTTCTGACTGACATTCTCTTCGTTGGCGTCTTCGCACTAAGACTCCCTAAGCGACCTGCTCAAGACGGCCACCTTCCACTCACCTTTGCCACCAGATCCTCCCACGATTCTCTCCCTTATGTCTTCTTATATGGCCTTACATTCTTCTCTCTCTGAATGGCCCTTTGGGTGAGTGTGAGTGTGAGTGTTTGTGTGTGTGTGTGTGTGTGTGTGGTTTGACTCCCTCAGTGTACCACACCCCCTGCAATAGTAAAGCTGTTTTCTAGTTGCTCCCGCAGCCATGCCCCCAGGTCTCTACAGAGTCTGGTCCTCAATGAGTGTGCACTCACGATTGCCAAGCATGTCATCAGAATGCCCGTGTGATGGTGGACACATTTCTTATTTTCCCAAGTCTCCCTGAGGCCGGACCCCAGGTCCCTCAGCACCTCTCCCCGCTCAGCCCCAGGCAGCCCTCTCGAGGCTGGAGTGGGGCTCAGAGGGCGGAGAGCTTGCTGTCCGTCCTGACACCGCTGCCAGAGAACTCAAGAACCCAAAGCTGCTTGCTCCCAACGTAGTTTGTTTTTTCAGCTCTAAAATTGCCTTTAAAAAAAATCTGCCCCCTCCATCCCCTCCAAGAAATAGAATTTAAATTCAAACAGCTTTTACCTGCATCCTCCTTCTCTCATTACCTCCCAGTTAGTGCTCAATGCCAATTGCCCATGAAATTCCACTGCAGCTGTTAATGAAATGAGGAACATAAGAAGTTTGTGAACAGCAAGTGTCCGTGCCAGCCTCCACCGGTCCCCTCACTTCCTACTTTCTGCTCCTGGACCTGCTCCGTGAGCCTCTACATCAGGGGTTCTCAACTTTCCTGAGGCCACGTGACCCTTTCAGACAGTTCCTCATGTGTGGTGACCCCCCCAACCATAAAATTATTTTCATCGCTACTTCATCACTGTAATTTTGCTACTGTTATGAATTGGGCGATCCCTGTAAAAGGGTCGTTCGACCCCCAAAGGGGTCTTGACCCACAGGTTGAGAACTGCTGATCTAGATGAATCTTGGCTTCCTCTGCTTCCCCCAGGATTACAGGAGGCAAAGGCCTGGGGTAAACTCACAATAGTGGGTTCTCCTTCCTTCCCCAAAGCACTAGATTAAGAGGTAGAAGGCCTGCTTTGGGTTCTGACTCAGACACTTTCTAGCCTGGGGATCTCAAGCTTAACTTCCTGGTGCTCCGGTTGACCTTATTTGATAGTGGAATGGCTCGTTCACACTCTGCCTCTATCACAGGGTGATAGGATGCACAAGGAAGTCATGTATTTACAAGCATTTTGAGAAGTAAAGAAGCCATCTCTGTGGACATTGGTCCTCCACTCAAGTACTCCCACAATGCAAGAACACTTTGTTCTATGAACCTGGCATTCCATTATGCTCACCTTCCCAACACATTCGCTGAAGACAAAGTGGGTACATAAGCAAATGTGGTGAAGAAAGCTGATGGTGCCTGCCTATCAAAAGATATAGTGTCTGGAGTCTTAAAGGCTTGAAGTTAAACAAGTGGCCATCTAGCTCAGAAGCAACAAAGTCCACATGGAAGAAGCACACCAGCCTGTGTGATCACAAGATGCCGAAGGGATTAGGTATCAGGCATCAAAGAACAAAAAATCATATCATTGTGTGCTCACCTCCCTGATATGATCACTGAAGACAAATGGGTGCATAAGCAAATGTGGTCAAGAAAGCAGATGGTGCCTGCCTATCAAAAGATATAGTGTCTGGAGTCTTAAAGGCTTGAAGTTAAACAAGTGGCCATCTAGCTCAGAAGCAACAAAGTCCACATGGAAGAAGCACACCAGCCTGTGCGATCACGAGGTGTTGAAGGAATGAGGTATCAGGCATCATCAGAACAAAAAATCATATCCTTGTGAATGGGGGTGGGAGTGCGGAGTGGAGACTCAAAGCCCATCTGTAGGCAATTGAACATCCACTTACAGAAGGGTCTTGGGGAGGAGACGGGCCAGTCAGGGTGCAGTGCAGCAACAATGAAGCATACAACTTTCCTCTAGTTCCTAAATGCCCCCTCCCCCCAATCATGATCCCAATTCCACCCTACAGATCTGGCTAGACCAGAGGATGTACACTGGTACAGATAGGAACTGGCAACACAGGGAATCCAGGATGGATGATCCCTTCAGGACCAGTGGTGAGAGTGGCGATACCGGGAGGGTGGGGTAGAAAGAGGGAACTGGTTACAAGGATCTACATATAACCTCCTCCCTGGGGGACGGACAACAGAAAAGTGGGTGAGGGGAGATGTCAGACAGTGCAAGATAAAATAATAATTTATAAATTATCAAGAATTCATGAGGGAGGCCCCGGGGAGCAGGGTGGCTGGGGAAAATATGAGGAACTGCTGCCGGGGGTTTAAGTGGAGAGGAAATGTTTTGAGAATGATGAGGGCAATGAATGTACAAATGTGCATTACACAGTTGATGTGTGTATGGATTGTGATGAGTTGTATGAGCCCCTAATAAAACGATTAAAAAAAAAAGGATCCATCTCTGAATGAAGGGAATTCCTGCCTGCTCCCAACAAACAAGCTCCAGTCTCGGGGATTTGATGGGAGGTCCCCCTGGCAGCTGCCTTTTCCAGGGTCTAGTCAGGGTCTCTGGTTCCCTGCGGGACCTCTTGCCGATCCCGTGGTCCACAGCCATCACGTGCTTCCTTGAGAGGGAATTGAGTGGCGGAGGCTGCTAAGCGTGCTGGCGATCCCTCTTCCCACATGGTTCATTTTCACTTCCGTTCCCGAGAACATCTCTCAGGGGCTTTGTGTCAGCTGCCATGAAGGAGCCTTTCCTGGGTGAAGTCTGCCCACTCAGCTGGCTCCCAGGTGGACACCCTGCAGGGCCAACTGACTTTGTTCCCAACATGGCGGCTCCGTGTCAGTTCTAGGTCCTGAAACAAGGACATCCAGAGTGAAGGGCACTGGAACAGTGACCCTGAAGTGGGAGGACTATTGGGGTGCCAGAAGCCCTGATTTCCCGGAGCGGAATAAGCTCAGCCCCTCCGCCTGCCTGTCAGTGCCATCACTCGTTTCATAGAGGAAGGAAACGCAGGACCAGAGCAAAATCAGGATTTTCCCAGCTGTCGATGCTCCTACCATCTGCTGTTTCCAGAACCCAAGGCAGCATCAGCCTTCATCAAGAACCGTCCAGGGACTTCCGTAACAGAGCCAGTGAAAGCCAGCCCCAGGCTTGCCAGGCAACCCTGGTGTCATCACTGAGCCTTGGGCTGTCATGGAGTGCCACTGAGATGACCTCTGTATTAGTCTAGGTACTTTGGAGAAACAAATCCACAGCAACTCATGTATAAGAGAGAGTTTTATGCAAAGAAAAGGTGCATCACGAAAACATCCCAACCCAATGCTGCCCAAGCCCACAAGTCCAACATTAACCCATTTACCCAACACCAGTCCACAAAGTCCTCCACCTCACAAAACAGAGGCAATGATGCCGACTGCAGGAGGAAAGCTGAGTCAGTGAACGAATAAGCATCTCAGCACTAGCAGGGTTCTCCACACGGCTGCTCCAGCACCCAGGGCTGCATCGGGATACGTCCATGTAGTTTCTCCTTGGGGATGTCTTGTAGGAAGTCAATCTTGCAAGCTGAAGCAGGGAACTGCTAAGGCAGCTGCACCCGGTGCA